TGTTAACAATTGTAAAAATGGAATATCAAGAACTCATAATGTCAAATAAAGTATTGATAGTTTAAGCTTAATTGATTTAATATTATTAAGTTATTTTACAATCTTAATTAATTAAATATAATCATTTATTAATTGAAAATAAAATTAATCCAATTTAATGGTGACAGATACCTCGAACATTTTTTAGTTATCTATGAAAACTTATATTTCTATTAAAATTAAATATAATAATTTTTCAACTTTCTGACCACGATTTTCGTTGTTAATCCGCCTACAACCTCAAACTCTATCCACTTGGAGTATGCGTCAACTACCAAGAAATACTCTTTCCGGTCAAACTCAAAGAAATCCACAGGTTTCATATAAGGAATAAGATTGTCTCTTGATAAGAAAATAAGGGAGTAAGAATCAAGGTTTCTTATGAAAAAGAAAATTATTCTTTTCCGAAAATTATGGTTAGATAGCAAAATGATGTCTTAGAAAGGAGTGAGGGTTGGCAGAGGGAACGTAAATAATTTGTTTTGAGTTAAAAAAAAAAAATTTTTTTTAAAAATAGTTTGATTTTGAATTAAGATTTCATTCTTACATAATTTTGTTTGGAATTAAAAGAAAAAAATTATTTTAAAATAATTTTTGTAATTAAAATTTCTATTTTAAATATTCTACCTACTCTCATATCTTCATTAACCTCAAAGACTTTCCTAGCTACGAAGATTCTTCTATCACTCCTTAAGGACCTCTGGATGGTTTTCCATAGTTCTCTATCAAAGTAATTTGTGCAGCGAAGCTCCTCAATCATCATTGAAGTTGTCATTGATATCCATTCATTCCTAATCGAGGCATTGTTATTACTAATATTAAATTAAATTTCTTAATGGCAAATAATTCAGCTTGCAAATGATAATAAAGCAGCTATTGAAAATTATCATTATATGAATATAATATTCCTTTTTTTCAACCCTTTAAATAAACATAATTAATACTTCTATTTTAGATGATTGTCATTTTCCAATAGATACACTGTTAATATTTTATCAATGCATATTGTATTGTGTATTATAATATTATATATTATTCAGTGCAAATATAAATGATCAATCTGTCTATGCAGTGTACACTTAAAATTGAATGTAAAAGTTATTATTTAAAATATAAATAATTAAAAAAACCCCTTTATTTACTAATATTATTTAAATTTCTTAGAGGCAAATAATTCAGCTTGCAAATGATAATAAATCAGCAGGGAAAGCAGCTATTGAAAATTATTATTATATGGATATAATATTCCTTTTTTTCAACCCTTTAAACAAACATAATTAATAATTCTATTTTAGATGATTGTCATTTTCCAATAGATACACTGTTAATATTTTATCAATGCATATTGTATTGTGTATTATAATATTATATATTATTCAGTGCAATAAATGATCAATCTGTCTATGCAGTGTACACTTAAAATTGAATGTAAAAGTTATTAATTAAAATATAAATAAATAAAAAAAACCCTTTATTTACTAATATTATTTATTATTCTTAGTGGCAAATAATTCAGCTTGCAAATGATAATAAATCAGCAGGGAAAGCAGCTATTGAAAATTATTATTATATGGATATAATATTCCTTTTTTTCAACCCTTTAAATAAACATAATTAATAATTCTATTTTAGATGATTGTCATTTTCCAATAGATACACTGTTAATATTTTATCAATGCATATTGTATTATTATTATGTTATTATAATATTATATATTTGTAGTAATCCCAACTACTAATTATAAACAATACGATTATTAATTTATTATTTCAATTTATTTTTAACATCAAATTTTTATTGATTGTTTTTCGAATGTTCGATTCTATTTTAATATACAATATCTATAAATAATCATTTATTAATTTATTACAATATTATTCAGTGCAAATAAAAATGATCAATCTGTCTATGCAGTGTACACTTAAAATTGAATGTAAAAGTTATTATTTAAAATATAAATAATTAAAAAAACCCTTTATTTACTAATATTAAATTAAATTTCTTAATGGCAAATAATTCAGCTTGCAAATGGTAATAAAGCAGCTATTGAAAATTATTATTATATGAATATAATATTTCTTTTTTTCAACCCTTTAAATAAACATAATTAATAATTCTATTTTAGATGATTGTCATTTTCCAATAGATACACTGTTAATATTTTATCAATGCATATTGTATTATTATTGTGTATTATAATATTATATATTATTCAGTGCAAATATAAATGATCAATCTGTCTATGCAGTGTACACTTAAAATTGAATGTAAAAGTTATTATTTAAAATAGAAATAATTAAAAAAAAAACCCTTTATTTACTAATATTATTTAAATTTCTTAGTGGCAAATAATTCAGCTTGCAAATGATAATAAATCAGCAGGGAAAGCAGAATTTGAAAATTATTATTATATGAATATAATATTCCTTTTTTAACCCTTTAAATAAACATAATCAATAAATCTATTTTAGATGATTGTCATTTTCCAATAGATATACTGTTAATATTTTATGAATGCATATTGTATTATGATTTGTGTTATTATAATATTATATATTATTCAGTGCAAATATAAATGATCAATCTGTCTATGCAGTGTATACTTAAAATTGAATGTAAAAGTTATTATTTAAAATATAAATAATTTAAAAAAACCCTTTATTTACATGAATAAATTTTTATAAGAAAGAAAGATATTTTGTTTGCCATGCTTTTAAATTAAAATTACAAAAAATCAGTATTTATAAATTGAAAATATATAAATACCATATTTAGGATTTAAAAATGATTCATTTTATATTAGGCAAGGCAATAACAATTGTGAAAAAATTAATAACATATTTATTGGTCTATAAGTTATTTTGTATAAATAAAATTAAACATTATATTTAATTAAAAATACAATAAATATATAAAATATTAGAATTTTATTGATAATATTTAAAGATAGAGTTTATGTAATGGCCATACATTATTAATGTCGTATAAAATTAATATTAAATATTTAATTAAAAATACACTAGATAAACAAAATATTAGTATTTTATAGATAATATTTAAAGAAGATAGAGTTCATATAATGGCCATACATTATTAATGTCATATACAAAAAATTAGTATTTATAAAGGGACAATATATAAATACCATGATAATAACTTAATTTATTTGGAAAAAATTAACATATTTAATAATATACTATATATATTAATAATAGATATAATATTATTTTATGACTTTTTAGTGGAGTTATATATAATGGGAACATTTTTTTATTTTCGCTATTCTGATTTTCGGTGTTTCGTACCGAATTCCTCAAAAAGAAGAAAAATAAAATAAACAACAGCGGGGAGACGACACACCCTTGTTTTACTCCTTTTTTAGTTCTAAAGGGGGGAAAAACTTTATTACTAATTTTAAGCGAGGCGAAGAGATTACTGTAATGTGTCTTTAGAATCCTAATGATGTTTCCGTCAATGCCACATCCTCTTAGGATTGCCCACAAAGAATCATGAATAACACTGTCAAACGCTCGCTTAAAATCGACGAAGATAAAATAGAATGATAATTTATATTTGTCACACTTCTGTATTAGTATCTTTAATGCCAATATGGGTTCATTAATATCAGATGTATTTGGACAGAAGATTAGGCGTGGTCGAAGAATACGGTTTTTTAAAAGAATCATAAAAACCTTAGACACGACGGATGTGAGAGCGATAGATCTGTAATCCTTAAATTTAACAGGATTTGGGGTTTTGAGAAATTAGAGATAGGTTTAACCATAATTTGTGTGAAAAGGTCATTAGATTTGAGGACATAACCCTATCTAAAATGGTTGGAATGCTGGTTAATGTTTAAAGAAGATATTCAGGAAGTAAGCAGGGCCTTAACAAATAACAATGCCCCGATTAGGAATGAATGGATATCAATGACAACTTCAAGATTGAGGAGCTTCGCTGCACAAATTACTTTGATAGAGAACTATGGAAAACCATCCAGAGGTCCTTAAGGAGTTATAGAAGAATCTTCGTAGCTAGGAAAGTCTTTGAGGTTAATGAAGATATGAGAGTAGGTAGACTATTTAACAAACTCAATAATTTTTGCAAATCAAAATTTTTTTTTTTGAGAATTACCATCGATACGGTTAGAGAACAGCAAAGTTATATATTTTCAGGAGGATCAAATGTCCCTATGGACAGAATGAATGTCTTTGAATCTATAAAAACCCACGATAGTTTTTCCGGAACAATATACTACCTTTCAATCTGTCCCATTTTACACTGGCTGAGATATCTGCTGCCCTAAAGGAACTGAAAAATCATAAAGCTCTGGACCGGACAATATAATGGGGGAACAACTGAAAGCTGCATCAGACGCGATACCACGTTTTCTGCCCATTATTTTTAATAAGGTATGGTCTTCTGGGATTACTCCTAAAGATTGGAACCTATCAATGATGTGCAATTTTCCAAAGATCCCTAATCCCATCAACTTTCGAGATTATAGGGGTATAGCTCTCATCTCTATTGCGTTTAAGATCTTTATGGTCTTACTTAAGACACAAATTCTACAAACATCTCATAATCTTTTCGCGAAATACATCTGTGCCTACCATCCAGGCAAGAATATCATGGAGCCTTTCCTTACTCTCAAAATTATAATTCAAAAATGTGATAAATATAAATTACCTTTTCTTTTTACCTACATTTCTAATTCAATTGATATGAACACATTCTCAATTATTGATAGTAATTATCAAGGCTTACATTAAAGATGTTAAACTTAAAATTAGCCACCGCCCACCCTTAAAGTAATTAAATTATTTTTGCAGTTCTTGGGTATAGGCTTTTGTTTTGCCCATTTCTTTTTGTCTATTAGCCTATAGACGTTTAAGTAACAGTTCTCGGACTGTTGCGCGTACAAGTAAGTGCGGCTTGCCCACAAACGTGTGAAGGGCTCTTCATTTTTCTCCCCTTAATTAACTATCCAGTTTGATGGATTTTTAAGGAAAACCTAGCGTAGCTCTGTTGTATCCACAACCAGAGGGCGAAAACGCTTTTATCACGTGTCACATAATTCACAAACAATAATCACTTCACTAAAAGATGAAAATTTGTTATCAGATGATGTCGAAAATATTATAGTACAGGGACATCTTCTATATTCCTTAAATACATATACACAGTGGAGGCATCTTAAACCCACAAAAAAATATATACAGGTGAATTCCGTCAATTTGCATTGACTGCATTTTTATTCACCTAAGGCTTACAGATATCTCAAATCACACTTTTGTATGCCTCCGGAATCCACATTAAGGGCATGGAGTCACAAGATTGAAATCATGCCAGGTTTATTATAATAATTTAAAAAAAATAAATTAAATTAAATAAAGGTTTCCTTTCTATTTCATTTACTTAAATTAAAAGCTACCAAAAAAAATCAGAAAAGCAGTTGTATTGCGTACTTAGCCTTGATGAAATGCATATTAAAACACAAATAGATTATGACCCCCACAAAGCAGAATATCATGGTTATGTTGATTTAGGTGATGGGACAAAATCAACAAAGGAAGATAAATCTTGTCCAGAAGCAACAAAGGTACTGTTTCTTATGGCTACCTGTCTTAATAGCAGCTGGAAAATGCCAATAGCCTATTTTCTAGTTCACAAATGAATTCAGATATCCTAGCTAATTTAGTGAGAGATGCATTGTTCAATCTAAATGAAACTGGAGTTATCTGTAAGGCCATAGTATGCGATGGTTGTTCTGTTAATAAAAATGAGCAAACTGCTTGGTGTTAGTATGGATCCTGATAATATCATTCCATATATTGAGCTGGAATTTTATGATTCGGAAATTTTTTTTTATATTACTAGATGTTTGTCATGTGCTCAAATTACTTAGAAATCTATTAGCGGAGGAGAAAATTTTAATAAATGAATCAAATGGAGAGGTAGCTAGCTATATTAAATTTGATTAATTATTTATTTTGTATTTATAGTTAATAGATTGTAAGCATATACAAAGTTTACATAAATTGCAGGAGAGAGAAGGTTTACATGCTGCAAATAAATTGCACAAAGCACATATTTTTCCACAAACAAAAAGTGAAAGTTTGATAATAAATATATAATTATTAAATATTTTTTAAAGGTTAAACTTGCTGTTCAAGTTTTTAGTGCATCTGTTGCAAATAGCCTAATAGCCTTCTTTTTGCCCAGCATCAGGAGATTCCTGGATTTGAAAATTGTGATGGTACAATTAATTTTATATTGATGATATATCAGTAAAATAAAAATAATGATATAAATTTATAAATAACTTATAGAATCTTTGATTATCTTAATACAAGAAATTGTCTTGGTAAAGGATATAAAGCCTTTTTATATACTAATACAATTGCAGAATATGAAACTCATTTTGACAAGTGCATTAAAACTTTAAAATCACTCAAGTTAACAAATGGAGTTTATGTAAATCTAATAAAAAAAACATGTGTAGAAGGGCTAATTCTTTCTATCACAAGCATCCTGGAAATGGGGAAGGAGTTATTAATTGGGGAAACCCCAAAAATGAAGTATTATATTTAATTTATAACAAGAGTTATTCATATAACTATAATATAACAATTTTTTAAGGTTTTTTTTAACATACAAAACCTCTCAAGACCACTTAGAATTATATTTTTGTAGTATTCGTAGCAGGAGTGGATTTAATGATAATCCATCAGCATATCAAGTTCAATCTGCTGTTCGCATTTCATTAATGGCAAAATTGGATGCAACAATTACAGGAAATTGCATTTCCTTAGACAATACACATATAATATGTTCAAATTTTCAAAATAATCATGATGATGAATGTAATTCTATCAAAGCTATTTCAAATCCAATAATACCCACCATATTATCTTATTATTTTAGCCAAACAAATCCCCATATCCCGAAATTATCATTATATTTAGATAATGTATCAACTTATATTTTGGATAGTACAACAACTTATTAAAGAAAAAAAGGTACGTTGTGATGTTTGCATTAATGCAATGGTCAGTGATTCATATATTGATAATATAATAAATAATATGCTCATAAATTTTAAAAATAATGGGGGGGGGGTTAGTGATTCCTTCATCTAGTATGTCAATATTATGCCAAATTTGTGAAAGTTCATTTAGAACTTATCAAAATGATATTAAACATAAAAATATCATTAAAAAAATGGAAGTGTTTGTTTTTCCCAAAATAATTGGTTCAAATATTTTTATTGATCTTACTGAACATATTATTGAACATGAAATTGGTTACAGCCATTTTCAAATTCTTGTAAAATTAATTGTTCAAAGGTAATCATTTATTAGTTTTAATATTATTTTTTTTAAAGATATTTAAATATTAGATTTTTTCATTTTGCTGACTTGAGAAACCAGGAATTGAGAACTGGTATGAGGCAAAATCTTACAAAAGCAATACAATTTAATAATCAATAAGTCATGTAAATTAATATTTATATCTTATTTTATGTTTTAAAAATTATATTGTATAAAGAACAGGCCTGTTATAAGACATATTATAAAAATTATGATATTATATATATTATCTATGCTAATGTAAATATATTTTATTTTTTTATAGGTGATGATCGAATCAAAAAGGATGAATATTTATAATCAAAGATAATATGAATGTGAATATACATTTTGTTTTTTAAAGTGTACACCTTTACATTTTTATATATTTATTGTATAAACCTTATTTAAATGATTTATATTATTATAAAGGATATTTTTTTATAAAATCTTATTTTCTTAACATAATTTATTGATCTTCATATCTACTTTTAGAGTATATCTTTGGTTCATCCTTTATAAAAAAATTAATAATACAAAATAAAAATAAGTAAAAAAGTAAGAAAAAAATTAACAACACTGATTTCTCTTCAAAATTTGTAGATTTTATTTAATTATATCTATACAGATCTCTTTTTTTTATATAAATTTTGATTATTATTTTAAGGTATAAATAACTATATTACCTAAAATTAAAAGTACCAGCAACTACAATAAAAATCGGTGCATCATTTTTATTTATTAATAAGATATGAATCATAAAATATTTTTATATTTAATAATAAGGATTCCATAAATGAAGAATAAGGATTCCATAAATGAACAATAAGTGGATAGTAAGATTTTTATTGAAACATCAAGTGAATTTGATAAAACTATAAAAACTAATTTTCGTAGAAAAAATAACAAATATATGTAAAAAAAAATTAAATGATTTTGATATTTGCAATTAATATGTATAAAATAAATTAGATTTTCTATTAAATAATTGGGGGTTAAACAGGGGCGGACTGGCGACGCTACGGGCTCATGGGCATTTTTTTATAGCGGCCTCATTTATATGGGGGCTTCGCCCCCTTCCCTTATATGGCTTCTTCGATTTACATGATTTTTATTACTTCTTATTTTTGAAAATAAGTTCAAAAGATTTACATTTTTAGTAAAAAAAAGAATAGTATTTATAATTTATTTTTAAAAAATGCACATCTAAAATCATATTCACTACCAATATAAAATAATATTCATTGCACATATATATTTTTTTATATTAGATTTATAACGATATTTCACTATAAAATCAAATCATACATCACATGTTAAATATAAAAAAATACATACTTAATATATCAAATCTATTAATTTTACACATATAATTATTGCAGTTATACAATATTACAGCGTATAAAATTGCTGCACTTATAAAATCAGGCACCGATCATATTGTGAATAGATATTAATATTTAAATAAAAGAATTAAGGAAATATATAATTTTTACGTTAATAAATCTCTCATTAATTTTGAACCTTTACGCAAATATACAGGAATATCTTCTAGTTCAATCTGCGCCAATGGTTCTCATTCAACTGACATCATTAAAAACGCTTCTAATTTTTTTTGGTCAATATTAGATCTCAGCTTATTTTTGTAATTTTTAATTTACTAAATGTTTTCTCGCAATTAATTTGCGTAAATGACAAAGTTAAAATTTATTCATATGCCAATAAATTAGTGTCAATTGTATGCATATTACATCTTTTAAAAATTTTATACGCGCATATTAAACATTTGTTACACTTATTATCACACTCTGAGTTATTATGATATTGTAATATTCCTTCTTCTTCATTTGACTCCTCACTTGTTCATACGATCATCTTCCGTTTCATTTATTCTGCTACCATATCTTTGAATACACTGGCAAATGAACATTATTCGTTACGTAATTTAACACGCAATATATATATCTTTACTATTTATTTCTTCAAGATAGAAATCCTGAAATCATAGTTCCCAACCTCATAGGATTTTCCACACATTTTAAGAGGAAATTTAAAATTATTCTATCTGCTGAATATCCTCAGCAATATAAGATTTGCAATCTAAATTTTAAATAGTTAAAAATTTTAAAAGGGGGTATATCATTAAATTATTTTTCTGGCATCCCCTTCCTTTAGAAACTGGCATAATTTCCTTCTTTTTTCTTTTTTTTCTCTTTAGCTTTTACCTTTTCTGGTGGTAAGCTCCTTCAACATCTCTCTCCACTTTATGTTATTCATACAATCTCTTTTATCTAATTTATACTTCTATATATTGGCTCTAACTTTATGGCCCCATTGAAGTTTTGGCCTTCCTCTTTTACGTTTGCTCATCACTTCCAAGCTCTCAACCTTATTTCCTATGTAGTTCGGCCTTCTCATGTGCCCATACCGCTTAAGTCTGTTTACATTAACTTAGTCTACCTTTAAACTACTTAGTATTCTTGTACTGCTCACTTTATCCTTTCTTGTTACCCCAGCAATCATCCTCAGCATTCTCATCTCCATAGTTTGTAGACTTCTCTCGTCTGATTCCTTGGTTGGCCATGTTTCCGAACTATATAGAATAGTTGGTTGTATTATGGAACTGTAAATTTTTCCCTTTAATTTGTGTGGGATTCTTTTGTCAAATAGCACTTTTAACCACCCTTGATTAATTTTACTCTTTATCTCTTTTTGCCGTTTGTTTGTATAGTGGAACCCAAATATTTGCAGCTTTCAATTGCCGATATCTGCCATTCATTTATATCAATACTCTCTGTTTCATCTCCTCCTATCACCGTATATTCCGTCATTTCTCTATTTACTTTTAGTCCGTGCTTTTTTAGGATATGTATCCAATTCACTAATCTTTCTTTCATTTCATCCTTGGATTCGGCAAGTATCACAATATCATCTGCAAATATCATATTCCACGGGACTGTTTGAGGTATAGATTGTGCTAATACATCTATTATTGTAATGAAGAGAAGTGGGCTGAGAACCGATCCTTGATGAATTCCTTCGGCTATTGTGAAGTCTGCTGAAGTACCTGTTGTGCTACGGACCATTGTTGTATGGCCCATATACATATCCTGTATTATTCTTATATATTTTTCGGGAACCTTTTGTGGGCGCCCACCAGATAAGTTTTCTGGGATTCTATCGAAGGCCTTTTCTAGATCGAGAAATTTTTTGCAGCTTTCCTTATTTTGGCCAGATGAATTATTCTGTTTCACCCGAGCATCCATCCTTTAATCTGATTCACCGACCTGGATTTTATTTGATTTCAATGAATTAAGAACAAGAAATGTTGGCTATATTATTTCTATAATAAATCAATGTATAAAAATGTAATATAATTAATTAATCAAAACTTAGCTTTCACTCTACTCAAACGGAAGCGTTTTTACTTCATTTGAAAAAAGCAAAGAAAAAAACGAGGTAATGATGTATAGCGTCAAGCGACGTTACTGGTATTTTATGCATTAAATTATAGTAAACGACATGACAATTGTCAAGGAATGTGATATTTAAATCATAGAGATATTATTAAAAATAAATAAATGATAATAGTTAATAATGTGAACCAAATAATATATTTTTTTTTCTAATCGGCCTCTTTTTTGATATTTTCCTCTGATCGGCCTCAAAAATCGACATTTCTCGCGGCCTCGTGGGCAAAATACCCACCTGGTCTTATGGCCAGTCAGCCCCTGGGGTTAAATGGTTGAGGAATGTTTAAAAATAAATTAATTTTTTATAATAATATTAATCAAGTGGATAAATTAACTTAAGTATTTTCTTGATTGAGTCAAAGGAATCTGTGTGATAAATTTTTTTGGCAATTATATATAGGCAGTGGACCTTATTTGGTTGAATTTGAGGGTGTAATAGATATAAGTATGGAATATTTTGTATGGGTACAATTTTGGTGATTTTTGTTTCAGTGATATTGTAGCAATCTATGTCTGAATAATTTCTGGGTGAAAGTAATTTTATGATATTATGTACTACTATTGGATTAAATGTTGAGTTTTTTTATTTTAGAGAATACCAATATAATTTAATTGAAGATCAGTTGAGGTTAGGATTCATTTGATAATTTGTTAATAATTACATTATTAACAAATTATTAGATATAAAATTTTTAAAGTACGAGATAAAATTTTTTAAATACTATCTTTATTATTAATAACAAATTGATTTATTAAAATATATTAATTTTATTTAAAAATAACCAACGATCTTTTTTAAATATAAAAGAATGTTAACAAGATAAAATTTTATAAAAAAAAACAATCGATTTTAATTTTACAATGTAAAAAAATATATTTTATGCTAATGTATAAATAAGATATTATAAAAAAACAAACAATTTTAAATTTACAATATAAAAAATATTTATTATGCCAATGTCCCGCAAAACTACCATTATATGCGTGTTTGTGTCAATGATATAGATTGGTGATCATGCATAAAAAAGGTTAATGATGCTTACTACCAAGTGAATGTATGGAAATATTCTAAATACCAACCTAATTTTCTAAATACCGACCAAAATTTATTAAAATGTAATAAGACCCTTATTATTTAATATATTAATATGGAATCACGTGGTCGAGTCCGGCCTTCTATATATCATCCCCCCAAGGATGGAACCACCAAGTTAGAATAAGTAGAAAAAAATGACCATTCCCGAGTTTCGAACCCGGGAGCATGGTGTCAGTAAGTCAAGCTCTTGCCTACTAGGCCATAGAGGCTCTCCAAAAATCACGATTTTTCAAATATATATTATAAATATATTTGGTAGTGCCTATCCAAATGTAAAATGAACAAAATTCAAATTTGATAGGTAGTACCTTAAGGTAGTAAGCATCATTAACCCATAAAAAAACGTCCACACATTGAAATCAGCTATAGCGCCATTTTGTAGCTTGTAAGTTGATCAAATGGATTACAAGAATTAGAGGAAAAGAACTAATCAATTATAGGAGAACGTTGGAAACAAGCCACTACGTAGAACAAATGGTCAAGGCGTTCAGGCTGCAATCTTTAATCGTTGACAAATTATCGCCAATTGTTTATCAAAACTTTAGTATAGGATACAATATCGATGATCATAGAAACAAGAATTCGTGTAAACAATCGTTAATCGCAGATCAAAAATCACCAATCGTTTACCGAGATAAAGCATTTATCATTAGTTACAAGCGTTAGAAACAAGCAAAGTCTAAATAAGTTATGAAGAAGATTTAAACAGGCTTTAGAAGAAACAAAGATTGTTAAGAAAGAATACCATCAATCAATTTGGTAACTAGTCATCGTGAATCGTTGAGAGCATGAATTAATCGAGTTCGTCAATTGCCTACAGAGATAAAGAGCTAATCGTTTACCAGGGGTTGACAAGCAA